GTTTTTACTTATTTATTTTTTCTATTTATACTTTTATCTTTTTTCAAAGTAGTAATTCATTTTGTTATTACTGAATTATCAATATATATATTTATAAAATTAATTAATAAAAAAAAACATCGGATAGCGTTTTTTTATTTTTAAAAATAAAAAAAAAATATTATTATAAATTATAAAGAAATAAAATTTTAGTTATTATACACTCAAAATTTAAATCAAAAAAAAAAATTAATGTGACAATTATAATTATATATATTATATAAAGGGAAAAAATTTAAATATTATCCACTTAAATTTTAAAATATAAAAATAAAAATAATATAACAATATATATATATATATTTAAAATTTTGAAATATAAAAGTAGAATTTAATTTTTAGTTGATTGCAAATCACACACTCTAGAATTTTCAAATATAAGAATAGTTTTAATAGCATATATAATAGTTATTTATTTAAAATTTATAAATATAAAAATAAAACTATAATTTATATATATAAAGCAAACTGAAAATGCAATGTGTAAAATTTGAAGTTATTTATAATTAACGTGATAATATATATAATAGTTTTATTGAAAATTTTTAAATATATATATAAATAAATATAAAAAAAAAAAAAAAAAAAAACTTAAATTCTAATTGTGTGGGCATCGAGATCTCTGCGTCTGCGGAGGTGAGCGAGTGAAAGTAGTAGGCTTATTTCAAAGCAGCACCAAAAAGTGATCGTGATTAACGGCTTTTTTTTTTTTTTTTGTACTTAAATATTTTTATTTATTCTGCTCATACATAAAAACAAATAATTTATTATTAAAACACGAATAAGTTGGTGTTCTGGGCATTGACTTTCTACACACGACACCACAGCCAAAGATTCCTCGACGAGGAACACCCAACACCAACCCATTTGCTTTTTCTTTCTTTACTAATTCAATATTTCCCTTTGACATCTTACATATCTTATCTACACATATGTATAGACAGACATCTATCTACCCTTAAGGCTCTTCTCTTTTGTTTTTGGGTTTTTGCTCCTGGGTGTTCCGTGTGTGTTTTCTTTTCCTTTTCTGATTTGTTTAAAGTGAAAAACCAGAGCAGAATCCAATGCCCACCACCACTACTAACTACAACACTCTCTACCTAAACTACTCATATATCTAACAAAGAGTCAAATTTCAACGACCCTTTCTTTCTCCACCTCCACCCGTGTGTCTGCTTTCCTTTTCTCTCTCCCCCCCCCCAATCGTCAACGCTATCTATCTATATACGAAGCTTCCTATCTCCCTTCCTCCCCCTCCCCCGTATCTTTCTTCTTTCTTCTTTCTTCTTTTCTTTATATCCCTAACACCCACCCAGTTTCCTCACTCTCCCACTCTCTCCAGCTTCTTCCCAGGTACATCTTCCTTTCCTTCATTCTGATTTCTTAATAATTCAAGCTTTCTTTATCTTTCATAAAATTTTCAGAATCTTTTTCTCATTGATTATACACTGTAATTACCCTATTCTGTTTCAAAGATATCTGCTTCTTCTGGGTTATTCTACTTCTGTAGAAATATACCAACATCTGGATCTATTTTGTTATCTTGTGGGGTGTTCAACCTTACTTTTACTGGTGTGTATTGATGAATATTATGTAGATCTTGGGTCTTGCCCTCATAATTAACTTGTTTATTTTTCTATGTTACTCCAGCTAATTGTTCGATAGATTCTTGTGAATGGAGCATTTTGACCGTGGGGTTTCGAGGCTTTCTAAGAAAAGGAAAGTACAAGAAGACGAGCTTGGCTACTCCATGGACGAGCTAAACGAAGACCTACTCGAGAAAGTTCTTTCATGGCTACCCACATCCACATTCTTTCGCCTTTCTTCCGTCTGCAAGAGATGGAAATCTGTTGCAGCTTCTAAAAGCTTCAAGCTTGCCTGCTCTCACATCCCTTCAAGAGACCCTTGGTTCTTCATGGTTGATCCCCATCTCAACCAATCTATCATCTTTGATTCTGCTGAAAAAAATTGGAAAAAACTCAATCATCCCTCCACTCTTCACCACTATCAATCCATGCCTGTTGCAGCATCTGGTGGACTGGTCTGTTACCGTACCATTACAGGAAACTTCCTAGTTTCCAATCCTGTCACACAAGCCTGCAGACAACTCCCTTCCCCTTCCCCAACCCTACAAGACCAACCCCTTCAAGCCATTGCCATGAATATAACTTCTAACTATCATGGCTCCTACAAACTTGTTTTAGTATCCGGTGAACTCCCAAGACTCTCGTTCAAGGTTTATGATTCTAGTGCCAATTGTTGGGAAGAAGAGGTTTTGTTGAGTAGAAAGGTTAATGATTCTCTGGAATTTGACTCAAATTCTGATGATGCTGTTTACTTTCTTAGTAAGGCTGGAAATGTAGTTGCCACAAACTTGCAGAGAAGCCCATCTAAGCAGTACTCTGCTGTAATTACTGTTAAAGATGATGAGGAAACTGTTTACTTTCTGAGCTCATCTGGGACAATTGTGGCTTGTAATGTAACTTGCAGGTACTTCTGTGAGTACCCAAGACTGCTGCCTGCATTCTCAGAGTACTCTATTGATGTGGTGGAGTGTAGAGGAGAGATGCTAGTTGTTCTACTGTCCGAATTTTTTGAAAGCTCGAGTGTTCGAGTATGGAGGTTTGATGAGAAAATTAAGTGTTGGCAGCAGATTGCAGCAATGCCTCCAGCAATGTCACATGAATTATTTGGGAAGAAGGTCGATATAAACTGTGTTGGGGCCGGTGATCGAATATTTATGTGCTTAAACTCCGCAGAGCTATTCAGATACATTGTTTGTGATCTGGTTTCAAATGAATGGATTGAGCTCCCCAATTGTTTTATGAATGGTGAAGCTATAGAGTTCATGTCTGCATTTTCATTTGAGCCAAGGATTGAGGCTTCAGTATGAACAACTTGGGAATTATCAATGTGTACTCTTGATTTTTTTCTCTGCTTTTAGTTTTTAGTTTTATTTTGTAATATTATAATTTTTTTCTAGTCTCTATCTTTAAATTGTTTTTGGCAAGGGATCAATGGAGGTTGATCATGGAAAGTGGCTTCTGCCTGTTTCTCTACTATAACCATTTCTTGCTTTCAATGCTGTTTTTCTTGGGTGTAAATTAGTTTCATGACTTTGCAAAACATATATTATTATATCACAATTGCAAAATATAATTTATGTTGCTTATGGATTCAAGCAAGTTTCAAGGGTTCACAATTCCTCATAACCCATGAAATAAGAATTGCTAAAAGAAAAAAAATGAAATAGTCAACGAGCAAAACCTCTTGACCTTTCTCATCCTTTGAATTGCTTTCTAATTTTTTTTTCCAAATTTATTTCACAATATTGAACTGCAATAACTTACACTCCCTGCACATTTAGATTTAATTTAATATTTTTAATAATATATTTTAAATATATATAAACAAAGAAGGGTCAAATTAGGTGGAACTTTTGGGATTCCAAAACACAAATTTGATAAGATCTAACCTAGACTTCGAAATTTTTAACCAAAAATCCACAATGAGACAAAATGAAATCGTTTTTATTCATAACTCACAAGTTTACTTGTCATTTTTAAGTAATAAATGAAAATTACTATATAAGGACCGCAATAACATAATAAAATTTAACCAAAAACTATAAATTACAGAATATTATAAGGGTTGTTTAATACGTAATAATATACACCAACCGCGACGTAATAATATAATTTTCTCTCACTAATTTTTTTATCCATATCGATTAATAGTCTAAATAATTCATGAAGCAAATCTATAATCATTTGAACGTCTATTTTATAGTGTGTTTTGATTAAAAATATATTTTTAAATTAGTAAAATTATCTAAAATTTATATTTTTATTTAAAAAGCAAGAAATTATGCATTTTTATAAAATGCTAATGGTAAAAAGAATTTTAATAAAATATTATATAAATTAATATTTTATCACCAAAATAATATTCTTAACTTAAGGGAATATAAAAAATTAAATAAATTAACTAAAAAATATCTTATCAAAAGAAAGTTAAAAATATTGGGGGAATTACTTAATGGTACTTATTTGATTATTATTTTTTGAAAATTAAAAAATTAGTGGAGTTTTTATTTTATGATAATTATTATAATTAAAGAAATTTAATTGTCGTAAAATATTTTTTTCGTCTAGATTCATCACGAGTCTTTGAAATTAAATTCAATTTAATCACTCTAGTTCGATCAACATGTTAATAAATTAAATTATTAATTTTATTAAATTAAATATTATAAATTAATTAATATTAACTCATAATACATCCACAAAATAATTCATAAAATAACACTCATGACCTTTAAATAATTATTTCTCTATTAAATTATAGTTTAAAATAATTTTTTTTAAAATTTAACAAAAGAATACATTATAACATTAACTAATAATTTAAGAACTGAAAAATAATGTACTCCCTCAACAACCTGTAAGAAGACACAGGAGATGCGTACTAACGGAACGGATCCGGGTTGATGCTGTTTCCGACCCGAAAAATTTAACTTTCCCCCTCCACACGAAACTTGCAGCCAAATTTGATTTGGCGAGATATAATCAGATCTGGAAATTGGGTTGCCAAGTTTTCTTCTTCTGCAAGAGACGCTGGAAGGATTAAAAGGAGTTCATTACACAAAAGAAAAATTAATGGAGTCAGATTCGGAAGAAAGCTTGAAACGGGAATTGGAGGAATTGCAGAAGCTGCTTGGCAAGAAGCTGAGGTTCGAGGAGGCTGTTCGCTCCCTCCATTCCCTTCTTCGCGAACTTTGTCCCTCCGCCTCTCATTCCCTTCGAAAATTGGTTCTCTCTTTTATTCTCTCATCGTTGTTTCATCATTTTCTACTATTTGAATTTGAAACACAGATTGATCATTTTACAGAGTACTGCATTGGACATATTAAATTGTTGTTTAAATTAAACGAAGCAATTTTTTGAATGATTTTTCTGATTACCTGGTGGTCGCAGTTTTATTCTGTTGTGTGCCGGGTGGCGACAATTCTAAAGACGAGATACACCGCACCGGGGTTCTGGCTTGCTGGTCTCCGCCTTTTTGAACAAGCTGAGTGCACTTTCTCTGATCCTTCTGAGAAGGAGCACTTGAAAAAATGCATTGCTCAAGCCAAGGATCACCTGCACAACATTGATAACCCACAAACAGATTCACAATCTTCTGAAAATAGAGGTTTATTTTCTTACCTGTTCAGATAAAAATTAGTGAAAAAACTGGGAAGAAATAGAAGAGGGGTTTTGAAACATATTTTGTTGGTTGGATAAGTAAAAATTTGAGAAAACATTTTATTAATTGAAGTAAATTAGGCGGTTAAGGAGGGAAAAAGAGATTTTGTACAGTTAGGAAGCTCGCCATCCTTTTTTTTTTCCCCCCATTTTTTACTATACAAATGAAATTGGTTAGGATGTTCTCCTGTTTCTTCCACTTTTCTTTGCTCCCCTCAATCAAATGATAGTTTTAGTTTCTTGGTTCAAGTTGTTTATGAGTTACCAGTTTTGTCTTGATTGTGTGAACTTCCTGTTTCAAGGGTATCTTTTTGAGGGGCATCTTACAGTGGACCCCGAACCACCCATGCCTCAATGGCTGGTGCAGCAGAACCTGCTGGCAGCTGTTGCTTCTCTTTCTACAGCTGAATCTTCTCGGGGTCCCATGGAAGACAGTACTGTATCAGAAACTGCTGGGAATTTGATTCAAAGTCTCATAGATAACCTTGATTCTGTCATACCCGAGGTGAGTACTCTTAGCAGGGATGGCACTGCCTTGCATAGTACAAGTCTGTTATTAATTTGCGCTAAGATTATAGGGAAGTAGACAAATGTTTATGTGTTTTTCCTGATACCTTTCAGTTTTAGCTTGTATACTGATTGAACAAAAAGGGATTCTCTCTCTTTTTTTTTTTGTTTTCTAGTTGCTTGAAGATTTATGTTGGACAAGTTGCTTTTGTTTGAAAGGAAATTAGATTTTGAGTCCTATTACCAAAGCTTTCACTAAACATAAAAATGCTTTCTTTGTTTTAAGATACTGGAGACTGATGGTGCCATCCCTAGAGCTCCACCTGCCAGTAAAGAAGTTGTTGCCAAACTGCCTATCATCCATCTTACAGAGGAAGTCCTGGTCAAGCTAGGAGAAGATGCAGAATGTGCCATCTGCAAGGAGAATTTGGTGGTTGGTGATAAGATGCAAGAGTTGCCCTGCAACCACAAGTTCCATCCTCCCTGCCTGAAACCATGGCTGGTAGTGGTCCTTACCACTCTTTATTCATGATTTGCCAATTTTCTTAAGCCGCACAACTAAATTATTCAATAGGATACTGAAATAATTGTTTCCATTTCTTTTGATCACAGGATGAGCATAATTCTTGCCCAATTTGTAGATATGAGCTGCAAACTGATGATCACAATTATGAAAGCTGGAAGGTGCGTGAGAAAGAGGCTGAAGAGGAGAGAAAAGGTGCTGCAAATGCTATTCGTGGTGGTGAGTATATGTATGTTTAGATGAATTTTTCTCATTGAATCAACATAGTTAATTGTATCATAGATATATCTTCTGAAGTACGGAATAGATATGGAAATATTTCCTTTCGTCAAATTTGTATCTTCTATACCTGGTTCCAGACATGGGTTCAGTTTGAAACGATAATTTGCAGAAGAGCTTTACTTGACAATAATAGTGGCTTGTACTCTAGTTCAATTTGCTTTACATGCATGTTTTCTCAACCTTGATATGGGCTCGTATGCCGTTTGAACTAATTGAATGGTGCTGTATTTATAGAAAGTATGGAACACAAAAGAAACAAATCGCTTTCATCGTTTCTTAATGTTCTATAGCTTGGTTAAGGCATTGATTTAATTTGAAATGATTATTAATTGAAGAAACAAATCTAGTGCTTTAGTTGAGAATGATATTGGTTCATATGCGAGCTCAATTTGCTTTAATACATGGGTTCTCAACCAGTCAACCAGGTTATATACTTGAGAAATGATTGTTACTTAAGCTGTGTTTGAACAAATCAAGAAATTTTCTAGAATTCATTTGCAAACCACGCTTAATTCATATAGAGGAGGAAAACTCTATTAAAAGGATGATAATTAACCTCATATGGACTTTTGGTGGAACTGAATTTATGCACTCTAAATTTTATCAATTTTAATGGAGTTTGTAAGGTACTGTTTCAATTCCATGTCGAAGTAAGTTTCTATAATCTTTAGTTAGAATTTTCACCATTTCTTAATTCAGCTAATTGTCAATTTGTCAATAAACTTAACAAGATTTCTACATTTGCTTCAAACATAACCAAACCTATTGCTGGCTTGAATTGAATTTGATGTTTTGTTAACTTCGGTACCATTTGCTTCTTATTGGTCCCTGCTTCAAAATATTATCTATTTGACATGTTGAAATGGGGTTGGATTACTTCATTGACTATCTGATAAGGAGGAGTTAAGTGTTAATATCCAGGCTTTGCTTTAGAAAGAGAAATTTGATTGGACATGTTATCAGAGACAGGGAAAGAACATACAACCGAATTACTCAGTACCAAATTGATGGTACGGTACGCAAATTCAATAAGTAAGGCGAATAGAAGCCATTCTGGCATTGTTATTCACTAATGTTATAATTTTGATTTGGAAAATATATATCTACTTCTGTCTTGATCCAAAGACTTGGGGTACGTTGGATTCTTTTGGGAAAAAAGAATGTTGTAGACCTCCTTGTCCTTTCTATTGGGAAAATTCTATGAAACAGAAAGTTCAGGATTTAACTGCCAAGCCACTGGTGGAAAAGAAAAAGGATTATTATTATTATTATTATTATTTTGTATTTGACAGTTAATTTATTTTTTTATTAGAAGTATTTTACGCAGAATTATTAGTATACACCTTTACCTTAAGCTTATATGACTCCTAGTTTTTTTTTAGAGAATACAAAGAACTCACTACATATTCCTTGTAACCTCACAATGTAGTTAGAACTGCCTGAGGTAGTCAGTATGATATAGAATAATGTTTCTTAGTATTATAATATGTTAGAAATCAATGTAATATATCATTTATTTGGTAAAACAGAAATGAGACAGATGTTTGTTCCGTTATATTTTTAAAAAGATATGCACCGAGTTACAATATTGTTGAGGATAATAATACTCAAGTCTTGAGACTGCATATGCTTTATGATGAATAGGAGCATCTATTGGTTTGAAATTCAATTTGACTGAGAATCTGATAAAAGAGGAGATTTAAACTAAAATTTAGACCATTTTGATTTCATTTTGGATAAAAATTTGATCTATTTTTCATTCTAATTTTATTCAAAGTATCATATTAAAATAACCTAAAATTGGGTTTTAATTTCTTAAATTTTTATATATTTTTTAAATAAAATATATATTTTTTAAACCTGGTCTGTTTTAATTTAATCTAGTCCAATTCGAACTAAATTGTACTAGAATGGGTTAGATATGTTAATTCTTTTATTAGTGAGCAGAGAATCGGTCAAATAATATAATGTTTTAGGTCCAAACACTATTGGTTCAATAATCTTTCGGACCAAACTTACAATCTCTCAATATTTAAACATTAAGTTGTTGGTAGTTTGTGACTTAAATTTTTATATAAAACTCAAAATTTTAATATGGGGTTGGAATATTACAACATTTACAACTCAAATTCTCGATGTTTTTATTAGGATGGAACATCACACTATTACAAATCACAATTAATAGGTTCACAATGTCTAAAATCGTATCAACTGATACGTCTTCTAATATTATTTAGAATATCCTGAATCAAAATACTTCTAATCCAACAATCTTTACAATTCAAATTATTAACTTTTAAAAAGTTTAAACTAAAATTATTTTTGGTAAAAAAAAAAGTATAGGTAAATCTATGCATATTAATCTTAATTATTCATCCGTTCTACCTACAGTTTTCTAAACTGGTAATATATATATAAATACTTTTTTATATAAATAAAGTAGTAGAAATCTAGTTGTCTTTTAATTTAACTTACCAATTTTTATTTTACTCTTTTTACTTTATTTTTATATTTAAAAAGTTAAATTAAAAACTTTTAACAAAATGAAAGGGAGTAATTATATTACCTCAAGAAGTTCTACTATGTGGAAACGCTCTTTAACGTAACTTTAGCTTTAGGTGGTTGTGACCAAAAAATCACTGGTTTCACTTGGTGGGTCAGGAATGCTTGACTTATAAATTTATCCGGTAAACTATTGGGAGCTCATGTAACTCATGCCGGATTTATTGTATTCTGGGCCGCAGCAATGAACCTATTTGAAGTGGTTCATTTTGTACCAGAAAAGCCCATGTATGAACAAGGATTAGCTATGGAGCTTAATCGTGGCCTATCAGCCAACGTAAAATCCTCCCGAAGTCCGAAGGATGATTACACGGGTTCAACTTGGCTCTGTCTCTTGCTACGTTCAACTACACAAAACCTTTCGTCTGCCACTCTCACACACCTTAACCAGAACATATTTCTTGCTTCTCACCCTCAACAATACAGTCCATAAACCATGGAATTGGCCATTTCAGTCCGTACAAACCAGTTTGGATTCATCCCTACCAAAAGCATGGGTTCTCATGGCTATGGCTGTGTTCCTTGGTTCCAGCCGCAGACTCTGCTTCCACCAACTGGTGCCAACAGACTTCGAGCCGCAACCAAGATGGTTTCAGATGGCTATGTGGGTCAAAACACCAGCAAAAGCACCTTATTCTCTAACGCTAATAATGACAGGATGTACACAAGGCTTGATTCTTGTTTGGTCATTCCTCCGCCAAGAAACAGAAAGCCACGTGCCATCATCAAGTTCTTGGGTGGTGCCTTCATTGGAGCTATTCCTGAAGTTACCTACAGGTAACCCATTTCTAATTTTTCCTTTTACTTACCTGTCTGCGAGGATTCTGAGTCAGAATTCAATGTATGTGTGTGTTTTTTTTATGTAAATACCCAGTTACTTGAAGGAGCTTTTGGCAAAGGAAGGTTATCTTATAATTTCTGTGCCGTATAATGTGACGTTTGATCACGAACGAGCGGCTAAGCAAGTTTACGACAATTTCAATTCTTGTTTGGACACAATCCTTGCTTCTGGATTGCCGCATCTTAATTTGACGCCAGAAGATCTCACAAATCTTCCCCTTTTCTCGGTCGGTCACAGGTGAGCTTACTGTTTTACTGACCTCATTTATTTCTTAAGATAGTCCTGGAACCTTTCAAGCCAATGATTACGATATTTGAGACATCTAAGCTTTTCTTTACTGAATGAAGTTGATAACGGATGGCATGGAAATGGAAAATCCAAAGGTGGTTGGGATTATAAGAGTTAAAGTTGCTTTAAGTTCAAATTTATCCTTGGATTCATTCAAAAATAGAATAGTTATAGATTCATTTAATCAAGTACTAGTCTGGAACCAATTGAACATAGAAGACAACTGCGGAGTTGTGATGCAGTGGACTTTTTGCTTGTAACTGTGGCGTTTGTGCGCTAAGGCTGGTAGTTGTAGAGTTTGGTCTAGTGATGCCATTGTATTCATTCTGTTGTTTATTGGATTTCTTATGTGTTTTAGCATATCCATTTTGTGTTAGACGTCACTGTGATGGAAGTATGGTATGTGACTTCTATTACAATATATTCCCTTGTTCAGCAAAATTGTTATCATTTGCAAGTGGATCACTGGCTTTTAACGGGTGAATTTTTCTTTCCTATATTAATTACTAGCTTCTCTCATCAACAAGTCAACAGTTGTTCAGTTCTTTATGCTGACATATTTTATATTTTCAATTATTGTTACAGCAATGGTGCATTGCTCCAAGTACTTATAGGAAGTTATTTCCCTGAGAAAATACCGAAGGTCTGGTTTTCTCTGCTTTTCCAGCTCTTGAAAGATCTGTTCTATAAGTAGAAATTGTTGAAGGAACTTTCTTTGAGCAAGACTGACAAGATTATCTATTGTGAAAGGCTAATGTCATAATTTCATTCAACAATAGATCAGCAACGGAGGCAGTACCATACTTTGAGCAGGTAATATTTTTCCGTCATTATCTATGCATTTTGCTGGAAGATTTCTTCAATAGAATGGATTTGCAATCTCTGTACATATGCATATATGTATCTATTTTAGGTGTTTTTTTTTCTTTAGCATGTGAATAGGTTAGTTTCTTAACTTCTATCATTT